ATGGTTTCATGTCTGCCATGTGATCAGCCAATGCATCCATAACGTCTAACAGCAATTCACGATTCAATGTACGAATCATTGCAAGCCTAGCAACCTACAAAAACAAAAACAAGAATTCAAGACATATAAATTATATCCTGTTATTAATAATACATACCAGTATATTTATCACGGCCAGTTAATAGAAGCACCATCCTGTTCAATATGGGACTCATAGCGACATACACAACACGTGTAAAATACATTGTTTGTTTACATGAAATTCAGACACGCACTGCTTGACAACATAAACATAAGATATGACAACAAATCCCCACAAAATCAAAAAACAACAAGCAGCCTCTCGGCTGAGATAGCTCCGCTGTTAGCAATGCACATTTCAATTAAAGAACAGAAGATATCATTAGAAAATGAACAATATGCATAGTATCAATGCAATGGGACTTGCTGTTTTCAACAAGAATTCAAAAATATCATTTTTGACCATAAATGATTGTGGGTTTTAACAAGAAGAAAATATCACTTTTTACCAAAAATGACAAAAATATTCATCAAAATTAGAGAATTGAAGATATCATCATGAAATGAACAAATTTGAGAGTGGTCCATATGTAGTATCTATATATGTAATATCAAAGCAATTGGACTTGTCGTATTTAACAAGAAATCGAAAATATCACTTTTCACCAAAAATAACAAAAATAATCACCAAAATTAGAGAATTGAAGATATCATTACAAAATAAACAAATCTGAGAGAGATCTACATGTAGTACCTATATATGTAATATCAAAGCAATTGCACTTGCGTTTTTTAACAAGAAGTCGAAAATATCACTTTTTACCAAAAATGACAAAAATATTCACGAAAATTAGAGAATTGAAGATATGATCATGAAATGAACAAATCTGAGAGAGGTCTACTCAAGGTACATATACACCAAGTATCAAAGCATTCAGGCTTGTAGTTTTCAAGAAGAAGTCGATAAAGTAAAACATTGACACGGACGACGGACACTGGACAATCACTCATATGATAAGCTCCGCTCGACAAAGTTGACAGCGGAGCTAAAAAGAGAACTACCGTAACAAACACACTATTTAAATAAATCGAACGCGTTCGTTTTTGACAAATAAAACTTTATTGTTGACCCCGTTCTTGGTTAAAAATCACTCTGGGCATTTAACCGAGGATGTCCCCAACATCTGAGCAATTTGGAGGATATTTAAATGAGTTCCCCTCTTGAAAATAAACCCATTATAGACTGTCGATGCTTTTGGTGTACATGCAGACACACAGAAGGATCACCTCAATCACCAAGCATGTGTTTAGCATACTAGAGTCCATATAGCATCCTCACCTTTGGAAAATTATGTACAATAATGCTGAGAGCATGTTTCTTCATATCCACAGCTTGTATCTTATCAGCAGCCTCCAGTATCTGCACAACATTCTTAAATGAAACGTTCATCTCTAGGTTCTGTTTACAAAACGCTTGTAATCGGTTATTAGTGAAACCATAATAATATGGGGCTGAAAATAAGTAGCTGAAAAGGTTGTTAAGGAAATGGCAAACTACTGAGAAAGCTAACTCTGCATACATTACATCATGCTATCATTTTGTAGCATCTGCAACCTAACTTAAGATATTCCAAGATGGCTGACAGATGTATTATACCTTATTAGGAAATGCAAATTCCAAATAAGGAATGATACTTCTGATATTCCAAGATGGCTGACACATGTATTATACCTTATTAGGAAAGACAAATTCCAAATGATATTTCAAGATGGCTGACAGATGTATTATACCTTATTAGAAAATGCAAATTTCAAATAAGGAATGATACTTCTGATATTCAAAGATGGCTGACAGATGTCTTATTAGAAAATTCTAAATAAACGATACCATATTTGCTCTATTAGAACCAAATATCGCATTGGCTATATACTAAATCATTATCAAAGAAAGCATAGAAAGAAGTGTGTGATAAATATTGGAGGCACATTAAAAATTAGTTCAAAATTTAGGATACGTTTTTCAAACAAGAAGCTTGATATTTGTCTGCTATTTGAGAAGCACAACATGATCCACTTTATTGAAGTTTAAATACTCACAGAAGAAAATAAATTTAATTGTACATCTGTGGTTTGCAGTCTAATTTTTATTTATTTCAGAGCAGCTCTACCACAAGTTCAATTTAAATATGATTTTTTTGAGATATCAGATATTGGCTAATAATAATTAGATACCGGCAATCAATATGTATGTTAACAATAAACTAATCACGCAGTGGATTACCCTAGATCTTTTATGAACCAAATTTCAGTGAAATGTGATGATTATGCATATTATGCAAATCAGGCAATTAGTAATAAGGTCTTTAGCACTGTTCCCAGGCACTCGTATACTAAGTCTTATTGAAATGCAATAATTGGACTTTGAGGTATAGGTATATAATTAGGTAATTATTATGTAAATCAAGCTATTATTATGCATAAATTTCAACTCAAAATTATTCAGGTCTAAGTATTGTTCCAGGGCACATATGTACCAAGTTTCATTTTAATGTGATGGTTAATTATTAAAAAAATCCATATTGATGGAAAAACTGAAAACTAATTATGCAAATCAGGTGATTAATATGTTTAAAACTAATAAGGTATGCGCAATGTGATTAGAACTTGAGATATCGATAGAAAAATTATGAATTATTATGCAAATTAGATAATTAATATGAACAGATTTTAATCTAAAAATGAGCAGGTCTGTTCATTGTCCTAGAGCATCTATGTACCAAGCTTCATTGAAATCCATTAAGTGGTTCTTTAGATACCAGTCATACCAGTTGAACCTAGGAAAATGTCCAATAAATGGATTACCGTATTTGTCTTCAGTTAAGCGCCACCTTCAATTAGTCGCCAGTGCCACGGAAACATTGTATTTTACACCCTAATTAAGTGCCAGACAGTGTAGAAATTTTGACATGTACTGATCATGAATTGGGCGCCGGCGGATCGACTACTGGTTACCGGTTAGTAGCGATAGACGCGATTGCGGAAGTCCCTCACTGTTACTGTAGGATGGGCTTTTATGCAAAAAAATTGGTTTTGTTTCTAACAAATTTTAAGAAATCGGTCTATAATTTCTTAAAACGCGTTTCTTTGGTCTACTGTAGAAGTAGAAAATATTCGCGTGGGTTTTTAATTTAGCAAGTCCATAAACACGAAATTACGCAAAAATGTTCTGTTTCAAATGAGCTGTTATCGCAGTAATCAGTGTTAAATTATTCTTTAAATGCTCAGTTTACTTTCCAAAAATAGCTAATTTCTTTATTTGAAATAAAAAAACCATGCCATTTTCCCACCAAAATCAAAGCCAAATGATCGCAAATCTCTTCTGTGTTGTGTTCATACATTATTTAAATGAGCTATGGTAATTTGATCACGTTGTCATCAGCATTTTGATTGGTTAATTAATGACTTGACCTATCAGGTCAAAGAACACGTTTCAGGTCAACTCCTCCTCAGGAAGCATGGCGGATATCGCATCGCATCAAGCGTTTATATGCGAATTGAATCATTCGCTTATGATGACATTAAGTTGAAATTTACTTGCATTTTATTTTTTGTACGTTATTATAATTACTACTCAGTAATAATTGTAACTGTGGAATGCAGCATGACCGGATTTTGCTACCATGATCATTTACTACTGAGCGATGCATGTTTTCTAAAGGATGATAATTTTTGTATATCTTTCTAGACTGTCTGAGAATAGGTCATTTATTTAGTATTTAAAACAAAGGCTACAGTGACTAAGCGTCAGACTGTAATGTAAAATATTGCCAAGAATGGAGCAAGAACAATTGCTTGAAACACAGTTACCGTTACTAGAACTTGAAGTGCTTGAAATAAGCGCCATTTGAAACAAAGTTGCCCAAATTTAAGCACAAATAAGAGCCACCATGAAATGAAAAATACGGTATTATGAGGATAATGCAATATATGCACTCATTGATGGTCATAGCAACATCCACTAAGCAGTGCTCAATATTTTTGCTGTATTGCGCATATACTGGGTATCCTTGGAAAAATCATGTTATATGAGTCAAAAGAACAGAAAGAGCATTGCTAAGGATACAGTGAATCTTCTGGTGGCATGGTAACATCACCATAGTAAATATACCTTAATAAAGAATCAAACGCTTGCCTCGATGGAACCATTTCCCCTATTGTGATCTGAAATGACAGCAAAAGCAGGGAACATACAAGATTTGTTAATTCCTTCACAGCCATATTTCTTCCTGTGAGTTTATTTCGCCAAACCTCCCGCCCGCTTCGGGTTTATCAATCGCTCACTTTTGCGACTGCTTGTTGAATTTGACCGACAATTTCCGCTTTATTTTCGACCGCGCAAACCTGGAAATATCACCACCTGATCGCTTGCATTTAAAATTCTGGTTTTCATAGATGTTGAACAACCAACAAGAGATCAAATACTTTTTGTTTTAACTATCTATAATTATATGCACGCAATTTGACCCTTTGACCTAGATTTGGCTGGGATTAAAAATTTTATTTTAAACAATATTCTGACTTGGCACACTGCTACTAAATGTATTTCAACAGAAGTACGACATGGTTGTCTGGGTTTCCTTTCCTGATTGTGTTGAGTTTACGATTTGTATAATTATTGTTGTTTTCCCCCCCGAGGCGAAGACAAGCCGAAAGACCATGAAGCTAAATAGAAGTCACACGCATGGACTGAGTGAAAGAAAATATATGGACACATTTGGAATATCGATCCCCGTTGGTTTCTCAAAACGGTCTCGGCATCCGTCATTCAACACAATCAGCATTTATTTATCGTAATTCACCGGGATCATGTCCCGTAATTTGCGGGCTGTAAAACCAAATAAAATTAAACAAGTACTAGTTGTTGCGGTGAAACAACCGCCTTGAAATCGATGCAACTTCAACTATCCATTTCTCACCTTGACATAAAAAGTAAAATAAAAGAAATCGAAGAGCATCGGGGGACATATTAAACCAGTCTTACCAATCGCTAGCTTTATTTTTTCGACATTTGTTGGTAACTTCCATGCTAAAAATGGTTGAAAATGTGGGTGTTGTTCTCTCGCAATGTCCTGTTGATAATATGGACAAATATGGTTCTGTGACCCAGGTCGTGCTCCGATCAGGTGACTCTCAGCCAATCAATGATGTTGTAACAAAGCATATTTGATGCAAATTGAAGTGTCGTCATATCATCCAATCTCCGGCGTCGATTCACATAGTTTTTTTGTGTTGTGACAGGCTTCACAATTATTCACTGAAAAACATCGGTATATTTTCAAATTGTTCATCGACTGTTCACCAAATATTTACGGCTACAACTAAATGGACACATTTTTTTTCTGAAGCCCAATACATTATTTTTGCATGTCAAGTGCTATTCGATTTTTTACAGGGCACGTGGCTCGTTTTTATTCGTATACTCAGGTCACTTTACGTGACTTAATTTTGAAAATTGAATGCTAAATTTAACCAGACCGACGCCACCACAACCATCCAATCATAGTTGGAAATGTACGCACTTGTTTCGGAACTTTGTATCAAGATGACTGGCGTCAGCGCCGACACAACAGGTGGCGTACGTGTGTTTTGCATGTATTAGTAATGCGGGCATGGGATAGGACTCAGTTAAAACGCAGAAAAATACCACTGAAATGCGGAATCTGAATCTGTTCTCTTACCAGCAAATAAAATGAATGAAAATAAGTTAATTTTGTAACAAGAACAGTTTCATTTTGTATATAGCAAATTGTGCTGTATTCGAACGACGCACGATTGCATCGTGTGATTTAAATTTATCACGATTTTCTTTGCAGTCAATATGACACTCGTCACCTTGCCGATTGTAATGTACTCACAACACTAAAATAATTAAACAAGATACAGTCAAACCTGTCTATAAAGAACAGTCAGTGGACTGCGCCAAACTGTCCTTTATAGACAGGTGGTTTTTATATGGAGGTGGCCTAATTTATTCATTCAATCATGAATATTAATTAAGGCAAGTATTTTAAGGGAAATCATAAGTAAAACATAAAAAGAAACCTACACATTGTACAATGAATAGGTTCTTTTTAATAAAAGTCACTCATTTTCATCTGGATAATTACACATAATTGACATATTCACCAAAATTAGAGAATTGAAGATATGATCATGAAATGAACAAATCTGAGAGAGGTCTACCCAAGGTACATATACACCAAGTATCAAAGCATTCAGGCTTGTAGTTTTCAAGAAGAAGTTGAAAAAGTAAAACATTGACACGGACGACGACGACGGACAATCACTCATATGATAAGCTCCGCTCGACAAAGTCGACAGCGGAGCTAAAAATGAGATAAAAATAGAAAACATCTTTTGTTGAGAATAACCCAAGATGACCCCTCAGTAACAATATATTTGCCCATGCGCTAGCTTCATTAGCATAATTTATAACTAACAACAACAAACAACATGTCGGCCAAAATAGGTCGGATTTTGCAATCTGCGATGAAAACGAAATAAACGAATGTTTTATTATTTTGTTTGGATATTTCATGTCGACAAGGTAAATAAAACATCTCTCATTTAATAAAACTGGTTCATTTTCTTTGTTTTCAAGACGAGAGGAATTTGCTCTTCATGTGCGAGACAGTCCACAGAAGTGCCGCTGGTCGGCTGTGGATCGATAGTATAGTGCTGATCGAAAACAAGCTAGTTTTTCATTTCAAACTTTGAATGAAACTGTTTTAATTGTTGTTAAAATATTTCCAGTCTCCAGACGTTACATTCAGATGATATTCAACTTTTTTTTTTACTTTTTCGCAATTTCACAAACTAGGTTGCGATGGTCACCCCTGTCTATTAGCCCTAAAGATTGCGTACTCGGTAATCTGAAAGTAACATATGGCCACTTTCCTGTTAGCGATTCGCAAGTATCTATTGTCTTTTTGATGAGACAGTCTGATGGAAATGTTGGTAGTCATTATACAAAGGTTAAAGTGTGAATAAGTCTACAATAGGGTGGTCGCTGGTTGCGTTGGACAGGTGGTTGCTATATCCAGTGTCTTTAACGTGTAAATTGCGAAGGGACTGTACTAAGGTGGTCACTATGAGCAGGTGGTCGTCAATACAGGTTTGACTGTATCTTTTTAAAATGTCATTTTACTCTTGATCATATTATTTTATTTCAAATCAATTACATATCGAACTTCTGTGCGTAATGTGTTTTTCTCTACTGCCTTTCCATGTGAAAATAATGAGGCCATACTCATGTCACAATACTTTGAAGCTGATGTCATGTTGATGCCATGAGACTGCGAAGCTAAGGCCACGATGATGCCACAAAATAAGCGAGGCGAACACAGCTTCAATTTTCAATGACGTGAAGCTGATGCCACAATGATGCGATGGTGAGGCGACAATGAAGCCATGTGTAGGCGACAATGATACCACAAAAGCCAAGGCTTTCGCGAGAACTGTACTGTATGGACCACATATGTCAAAGGTAATAAGTACTTGGACCACCCAAGTATTTGGTAATATGTACTTGGACCACCTATGCATGACAAAATACTTACATTGACTTGATCATTTTCTGGCATAAAAGATCGGAACATCGCTTCAAAATAACTGCACCTGGCAGCCAATACAGCTTTGTGTGCTGGTACTGGTACACCATCTAATACTAAGGTAATGTCACAAAACTCCCTATCTCCACTACCTTTCAAGAACACTTCCATATCTTGCTCCAGTGAGTTTGCTGAAAAGATAGTACAGACATGCATGTAGCAGTGGAGGCAACAAATGTAATTAATTTATTATTTAAATTTTACATTTAAATTGTGGTCTTATTTTGATTTTTCATAAAAATTGAATTTGTCACCCACAAAAACATAAAAAAATGTTGTTTTTTTTAAATTCTTTTACTGACTCCTTAAATTAATTTTTTGTAAACATTTGTGGAGTATGGAAAATAACTGACAATGTTAATTTTAAGAAAAGGTATAATTTAAAGTTGAAGTCATTTGTACATTGAACTGATATAAAAAGTTCAACTTACTGGTTTTGACAGCATCAATATGAGGTTCAGGAGGGGGTTTAGTTGGAGGTAGCTGGCGTCGACGGATGATTTCTACCATCAATGGCTGCACCAAAGATTCAAATTCTTTGCTCATCACTATGTCATTATAGTTGCTCTCTTTTACAATAAAATTCAAACAAAATTCCTGAATCCCAAAAGGAAAAATATATTGAGTATTTTACAATATAATTTGATTGTAAATGTTTGAACAAACTATATTTGTGCCAAATGTTTTTGCAGAAAAATAATAAATTACCTTTACAAAATCTAATTTCAAGTCAGCGGCACTCTGTAATGCTACTAATACATTTTTGTGCCCAATGGAAGCTTCTAAATACTGCACACATAACTGTTCTAATCGACACAGATGAAACTGTAGTGATAATCTATAAACGTCTATCATCAACAGCACAACACTTATACTTCGCTCCTCGTAACCTGTAATTCATCAATAATTATATAAATTAATTTACCACAGAAATGATTTTTTTTTTATAGAAATTGATTACATCATGCTCAGAGGATAAAAACCTCACTGTTTGATTCACATTAATTTGAATAAATCAAGAATGTGCAAAAAAATTCACAACCAACATGTTTTATGTCGAGGGCACTCAACTTCCTGATATGAAAGTGAGGCTTTCAAATTATGTCCAGCATCAGTAGCACATATTGAAGCATGTCAAGTTCAGTAATGTGGTAATGTAAAATGTCTAAACATCTAGTGTAATGAGCAATATGATAGCAGGCAAAAAACAAATATTGCAA